AATTATTATCGTGTGGTAGAGGAAGAAAAAATGATTTATGTGGCTATCAAAGTAAAGCCTTGGATTGTTGGTTTGATTCCTATGTCATTGACCATGGGGGCATAATTAATTGGAGACAATTTTGTTTTGACCTTTGCAAGAGGTATGATGGCACCAGACCTCTAGATGTGGTGAATGTATTCAATAGATTACAACAATGGGACGACGTGCTCAGTTATCAAAAGAGGTTCGAAGAATTGCATTGTAGAGTGCAGGTGGTGAGACCACACCTCGATGAGCTTTACTTTGTGACATGTTTTGTGGGAGGACTGAAAACGGAGATTGGACCAATGGTGAAGGTCTCTAATCCACAAACACCGGTAGCAGCTTATAATATGGCTAAACTTTATGAGATGGCCACAAAAGCTTCAATAGAACACCAAGCACCCAAGACATACAAATTTGGTTCTTATACTTACCAAAACACCAAAAACCAAACACCTTTTCAAAATTCCAGTCCCTACTCTTACCAAAACACCAAACCCCAAACGCCCTTCCAGTTCCAAAAGCCCAAGCCCCAATTAAAGCACCACTAACTAGAAACATCACTAAAGAAATTCCCAGAGATAGGAGCCTTTGCTTTAGTTGCCATGAGAAGTGGTCTCCCGGACATCAATGCAAATATAGAACATTGAATGCATTGGAGGGAGAAGAAACATTTGTATAAGCCTCTGATGCTGAATTAGCAAATGAGTCTGGGGAGGAAATGGAAGAAGAGCAAGGAGAGGTGTCGTTAAATGTCCTTATGGGCCTCGAACAATCTCCCAAAACCATTAGAACTGAAGGTTGGGCTAGAAAGAACTCAATGGTAGTATTGATTGACAGTGGGTCTAGCCACAGTTTTGTGGACCCACAAGTCATTAAGCAACTGAATCTAAGAATCGATCCCAACAAAAGGCCCATGCGGGTGAGAGTAGCCTACGGACAGAAGATGCTATGCACTCATAAATGTTCCAATTTTAAATGGACCATGAACGGTGAGTTGTTCGAGTTTGATTTGAGAGTGCTGAAGGCAGGGGGAGTGAAATTATTTTGGGAATGGACTAGGTCAATACAATAGCTCCAGTAGTGTTACACACTCATCCTCACAGTATTTCATTCCTTAAGGAAGGGAAATTCATTACACTTTTGGGTAAGGAGGAGGAGGGCCCGTTGGAACTGAAGGATGCTAAGGCCATTAAAAAACTATTGAGTTTGGGTCAGTGCATCTTCACAGCCCAATTGGTGGCAGAAACGACCCCACAAGAGCGCACGATTCCTAGGCCAATTCAATTGTTGATACAAAAATATTCAGAGGTGTTTCAAGAGCCTAAGGGGTTACCACCGACAAGGAAGAGTGATCATTCCATTGAACTATTGCCAGGGTCAAATCCAGTCAATCAAAGACCTTATAGGTACTCATACGAACAGAAATATATTACCGAGAAGATGGTGAGAAATGTTGGCAGCCCAAGTGATTTCTCATAGTTCTTCTCCATTTGCTTCTCCACTGATCTTAGTTAAGAAGAAAGATTCATCGTGGCGATATTGTGTTGACTATCGCAAACTCAATGAGATCACTGTGAAGAATAAATATCCCATTCCAGTGGTGGAAGATCTGTTAGATGAGTTACATGGGGCGAAATTTTTCTCAAAATCGGACTTGAGGTCCGGCTATCACCAAGTTCGTATGAGGAAAGGTGATGAGTATAAAACGGCATTTAGAACACATCATGGCTTATAGGAATTTCGTGTCATGCCCTTTGGACTGACAAATGCACCCGCTACCTTCCAAGCTTTAATGCATGAAATCTTTAGGCCAATTTTAAGGAAGTTTGTTCTAGTCTTTTTTGATGACATATTAGTGTATAGTACCAAGCTGGAAGAACACTTACAACTCCTAGAGTTGGTGTTTGAGTTGCTAAAGAAGAACCAGTTGGTTGCCAAATACTCTAAATGCAGCTTCGCCCAAAGGTAGGTTGAATACCTTGGTCACATTATTTCAGGTGAAGGAGTTAGCACATATGTGACTAAAATTGAAGCCATGGTGACTTGGCCTAGGCCCAACAATTTGAAGAGTCTAAGACGGTTCCTAGGATTAACGGGTTACTATAGGTGCTTTATCAAGAACTATGGTGTGATAAGCAAACCCCTCACAGAATTGCTCAAGAAAGGAGCTTTCCAATGGAATGACCTAGCCACCAAGGCGTTCGAGGAACTGAAGAAGACAATGGCAAGGGCTCCTGTACTTGGCTTGCCCAATTTCTCCCAACCTTTTGTCATTGAAGTTTATGCCAGTTGGGCAGGGATAGGAGCAGTGCTTATGCAGAGCAAGAAACCTCTTGCGTACCTCAGCCAAACTCTCAGCCCCAAGCATTTAGGCATGTCCACCTATAAAAAGGAGCTGGTTGCGCTTTTGATGGCAGTGGAAAAATGGAGACACTATCTACAGTCGAATAAATTCATCATCCTCACTGACCATTTCAGCCTGAAATACCTTCGTGACCAGAAGATAACAACAGCCTTACGACACAAAGGTATCACAAAATTGATGGGTCTTGATTATGAAGTCCACTATAGGAAAGGTACAGATAATGCAGTGGCAGATGCCTTGTCCCGCAAACATGAAAATTTAGGAGAATGCCATGGACTCTCTGTAACACAACTTAAATGGGTTGAAGAAATTGTGGGGAGTTACAACAATGACCCAGTGGTCTAACAGCTCATTGAACAACTGAGCTTAGATGTAGCCACAGTACCAGAAACCACTTATCAACAGGGAATTCTTCGAAAAATGGACAAGTATGGGTTGGAAGTAATGGGCATCTCAGGGAGAGACTTATTGAAGAAATGCATGCCAATCCTTGGGGGGACATTCTGGTATTCTTTCCACTCAACTGAGACTAAGATCAATTTTTTACTGGCCTTCATTATTGAAGGATGTCAAGGAAAAGGTGAAGGCTTGCGCGATTTGCCAAAGGGACAAAGGGGAAAATGTTTCTTACCCCGGACTATTACAACCACTCCCCATTACCTCCAAAGCATGGGAGCATTTGACAATGGATTTCATCGAAGGCCTTCCAAAGTCACATGGGAAAGACACCATTCTGGTAGTCATCGATAAATTCACCAAATATGCACATTTCTTAGCATTATCTCACCCTTTCAATGCAGCTCAAGTAGCTCAATTATTCTTGGATAATGTTTTTAAATTGCACGACACTCCTTGCTCAGTGATATCTGATAGAGACCCACTTTTTGTCAGTAATTTCTGGAAATAATTGCTCAAAGGATTACAAATCCAGCAGAAACTCAGCACAGCATACCATCCACAATCGGATGGCCAATCAGAGAGGTTATATAGATGTTTGGAGACATATTTACGCTATATGACTGGGCACAAACCCAAGGATTGGAGCAGATGGATTCCATTAGCGGAATTTTGGTATAACACTAGCCACCATTTAGCAATTGGCATGTCACCATTCAACCTTTGAGCTAGTGTCACAGACAAAATTAGAGACTATGGATCAGTTGCTAAAAGAAAGACAACTCATGAGCAAGGTACTGCGTGATAACCTCCAGAAGGCACAAAATAGGATGAAGCAATTTGCCGATAAGAAAAGAAGTGATCGGAAATTTGAAATTGGAGATATGGTGTTCCTCAAGCTTCAACCTTACCTCCAAACGTCTGTGGCCATTTGCAAAAATCTGAAATTGGCGGCTAAGTATTTTGGACCCTACAGAGTCATTAGAAAAGTTGGACCGGTGGCCTATGAACTCGAACTTCGGGCAAAATCAAAAATACATCATGTCCTCCATGTGTCGCAATTGAAGAAACAAGTTGGTTCAAATATGTTGCCCTCAGTTGATCCTCCCTGTTGCAGCAATAAAGGTCAAGTCTCGATAGAACCGGTGGCAATCGTAGAACGACGCATGGTCAAAAAAGGGAATAAAGCAGTCGTTCAAGTTTTAGTACAATGGGCTAATTTGCCTAAAGAAGGGGCCACCTGGGAAGACTACTCCTTTCTGCGCTCCCTATTTCCTAAGTTTGATCGACAACCCACCGGCAACGAGTAATGTTCCGAAGGGGAATGGAATGTTACGAAATTATACATTTCGCAACTTTAATTATTTCTTTTAGTCTTTACATTTTTAGTCCAGAAGTTTGTCTATTTTCAATTAGTTGTCTAAGTCCCCAAATTAGCTAGCTGACTCAAGGGACACGTGTTTTAGTCTAATTGCTTTGTCTAGATATTTCCAAAAGGGATGCAGCTGTCATATTCCACTATTTAGGGCAATAATTGTACAAGAATTGGGTACTGAAAATACATGACATATTTCCCCTTTTGTTAATTTTTTACTTTCTCCTTAATTTCCTTGTCTTCAACGTAGCAATTGCTACACCTCCGCTCCAGTTTATGTGAACCTATTTTCTTTTTGGTCTGTTCCAAAAAGAATGACTTCTTTCTAAATTTGAAAACAATTTAGCTTAAACTTCCAATTACCCTTAATGAGAAGTTTTTATAACCACACACCCCTTTTTGACTTGTTTAGGACCACAAATTCAAAAGGTCTTCATTTTTTCTTAAACTCCGTGCCCAGTCAAACATATTCACATAAATTGGAAAGGAAGGAGTATTTAATTAATGATCAATCTCGTCCATCTGATTGGTTACTTGATGGACGTACCAGATTATATCTAAATCTCTATAAATTGGTCCTCCCTCCACCAATTAGGGTTACCACCTTTCCTATATACAATTCCATCACTGATGGTTGTGGTAACGTAAGGTTACGGCTAAGAGGTAGAAACCAATTTACCAATTAACGCTTCCGCTTCATGATAATGACTTCCGCTTCAGGTATGTTTTCTTTCACAATTATATATAAGATTATCATGTTCAAGATACTGGTATGAATTAAAGCTTATGTTTACATTACTACCACAGTTACTATTAACCCCAGCCCAAAGAAGGAAATTAAAGAACCGAGGAGTTTATTAATCATATATAATTACACCAGGATTAAGAGTGAACGGAACTGTCCCTACTAAAAACTGCCCACAGCTAACTATTTTATCTTAAGAACGTGCAACTAAATCTACTCAAACTCTTCTCTTCATTAATCACAAGGTTAGAGAAACTTTATTACACATGCAATTAATCCTTTTACAATCATCGCCAGCAAAGCCATTACCAAAAATAAAACAAATCCAAGAGACGACGCCCACTACTAAAAATCACCTGTTTACCGATCGCCATCCTTTGGAAAAAATTAACCAAGTGCTACGAATGTCATCAACGTATAAGTTGGCTAGGGTAATCCATAGTTTCCACTTTCAGTTCATACTGAGTTATAAAAGAATGGCGCAACAGCTGCTCCACCGTCCACCTTCTAGAAGGATCCCTTTGCAAACAGGAAGCTATGAAGTCCCGGAACTCCGGAGAAGCAGTAGACGGCGCCTCTGGCGGCTGCGACATACAAATGGCCGTCATAACACTCCACCAATTCCTACCAGAAAATGGAAACTTTCCCAAGTAAAGTTCCAGGATGCTTAATCCCAAACCCCATATATCCTCTGCATATCGATATATATATATATTCTGCTGGCCTGTATTTAGGTCCGTGTTGATTCTCTCGGGACTCATGTAACTGATACTTCCCACTGACAAATCCATGGTTTGCTCCAAAAATCCCGAAATTCCAAAGTCTGCAATCTTCACCTCGTGCATAGAGTTTATTAAAATGTTGGAGGGTTTGATATCTCTGTGCACAATGTTGCGGCTGTGGAGGTAGAAGAGTCCGGAAAGAACCTGGCGGGTTAAATCAGAAAGGACGGGCTCGTAAGGGATGTGAATCCCTTCTAGAGAGCCGTTATCCATGTACTCGAGGAGGATTTGGATTTCCCCGTTGTGATCAAGCACGTCATGGCATTTCACGACGTTAGGGTTATTTACATCCAGGAGAATTTCGATCTCCCGGAACATCTGGACGCGGATGGAGTTCTCGTGGATACAGGAGATCTCCTTGAGCGCGTAAAGTTCACTGGTGGGCCTGTGTTGGACCTTGTACACCGAACTCCCGAAGCCGCTGCCAATGCGATTGACGCGCATGAGCTCGGAGGAGGAGGGTGGTGCCGCCATGGATGAGGAAGAGGCGGCGGCTGATGGAGGTCGCATGATGGATAAGTAGTGATATGGAAAAAACTCAGGTATGTGTTTTTTTCTCCTCTGTTTTTTCTTAGAATTAGGGATGGAAAATTTCTCAGAATTAGGGATGGAAAAAGGTAGCAATTACAGAGAGCTAAAGATAAAAAGGGCAAAACAGAGAGGGATTTCCTTCAACTCTTGTTTGTGGGGAAAATAGCAATCAATATACACTGATAGACGCCATTCAAAGAGAGGGTCATAGACCAAAGACGGTGCTCTTTTATTTTTCCTTTTGCGTTTCTTTGGCTCCAAATACTGGACTAACAAATACGGCAGAGGAGATTCAGAGAAGAACAATAGTATTCTAATATCAGCTCTTGAATTTGGTGGTTTGTTAAATCTGGCTTGCAATCGGGAAACAGAAGACATTGACTGTTGAATTGACAGAAGTAGAGGAATTGAAAATTTGACCCACAAGCTCGAAAGTTGAATAGTCAAGAATTACACGTACCTCCTCTAAAATTAAGAAATTGTAACACATATATAAGCAGTAATACGTTCACTTCAACATCATAGGAAACTTCCCAATCAATTACAGTTAGCCAATGACTTTGAACTCTACATAATCATCTCCAAAACCCAATGGACACTTCTGACATCTAACTGCATCATCATTCCATTCCATGCATGACGTTATGTATTTGGTTGTTTTGTGCGCAAGCAAGTTACTATTGACCAAGTCTAAACTGAAACCGCATAGAATATTTAAGAGACAAAGGTGTGGTACGAAGGAAAATGTTTGCCACGGAAAAAAGTTTCTAGAAAATATTTTCATACAAAAATAAGTATTTCTTACTTATTTTCTGGTGTTTGATTAGTTAGCAATTTTTTTCTTTTTAAGGAAAATATATCATCTCGGCAACACTATAGGAAACGAAATAGTGAGGGAGTGGGGATAGGGGTGGGCAGGGGAAGGGGCCGAGAGAGGAGTGGGTGGTGCGTCAAGGGGGGTTGGTTGGGGAAAGGGAGGTTTGCCAGGGAGGGGGGTTGGATGGTGAGCCGGGGTGTGTGGTCAGGGGTTAGGGGGGCGGAGTGACGAGGGTGTGAATTGGGGTGGGGGTGGAGAAGGCTGAAAGAAGAGAGTTTTGGAAAATATTTTTGTTCATTTTTGTATGAAAGTCATTTTCCTCCAATTGGAGTAAAATAAGTTCATAAGGAAAATATTTTCCAAACATATTGTGCAAAAATGTTTTCCTTCATGCGAAACACATCCTAAATATAGGTATAGCAGTCGCCTTAGAAGATTACAAATGAGACACACTGATTTCTTCTATGGGGTAATTCGTCGAATTTGCAACTGAGCTAGCTCGACACAATGCCCTCCGTCTTTTGCAATATCCTCTAGATAGTTGGCATCAGATGAATACAAAAGAAATTGGGATTGGGGAATAAGCACCACACAAAGTTCAACCAAACCAATTTTGTCAGTGTGTTTATTTAGTCAGTTTTTTATTTGGTCAAATTGAGGAGGAAGCACACTTGCTTGTGGTGTAGAATGTTGAAAAGTCCTCACTCAATTCTTCATTGAAAACATTGATTTACCTTTGACTTTTCTTTCTACGTTTATGGGATTTGGTGTTATTAGATGAACTTGCCTGATTCTGAAGCCATATTCAGAGCAACCCATTTTGAGAGAGCTTTAGACACATCTTTGAAAAGTGGTTGCTTGCATAAGCACAACTGTTTTCCAAACTCTGGGACTTACAACAACAACCCAGTATAATCCCACTTAGTGGGGTTTGGGGAGGGTAGTGTGTACGCAGACCTTACCCCTACCCTGGGATAGAGAGGCTGTTTCCAAATAGACCCCCAGCATCCTTCCTCCAAGAACTTCCCACCTTGCTCTTGGGGAGACTCGAACTCACAACCTCTCAGTTGGAAGTGGAGGTTGCTTACCATCAGAGCAACCCCTCTTGTCTAACTCTGGGACTTACAGATTTTTCGAAATGCAAAATCCAAGATGCCACTTCCTAATTCTTTTGATTCAACTTGTCTCCATCATTAGCTTTTTCCAATACATAATGCCTATAAGTGGTGAAGATGGAACTAATGCTGTAAAGCAGGTGGATGTAGGCATAATTCTTGATATGGAAACAACTGTAGCAAAAGTAATGCACACATGTATCTTGCTAGCTCTTGAAGATTACCATGCCGCTAATCGCAGTGCCATTAGGATAGTCCCTTACTTCAGGGATTCCAAGAAAGATGATGTTGAAGCAGCATCAGCTGGTAAATCTAGCTCCACGATATATTCTGTTAAACTAAGAATTTCTTACTCTATTTGATATATTCATGCCATATTTGCACAAAATATTCTCCTTTGTCGAAAATTTTCTAATTTCCCTTTGGTTTTCCTATTTTGAAAGGGATGTTCAGACAAATTCTTATAGTCTGATTGTGTATATGCAGCCATATACTTGCTAAAGGATATCCAAGTACATGCTATCTTTGGGCCACAAATGTCTACACAAACTGATTTTGTGATTGACCTAGGGAACAGAGTAAAGGTTCCTATTATTTCTCCAGCAACAAGTCCTTCACTTTCAGTCAAGGAAAATCCCTACTTCATCAGAGCAGCACTTCCTTCTTCCAGCCAGACTAAAGCCATAGCAGCAATTGTTAAAAACTATGATTGGAGGGAGATTGTAATCATCTATGAGGATAGCCCCTATGGAACCGGGATAGTTCCATATTTGACTGATGCCTTACTGGAAACCAGCACTTTAGTCTCCTATAGAAGTGTTATTTCTCCTTCAGCCAATGATGATCAAATCCTCAGGGAGCTACACAAAATGAATACAATGCAGACCAGGGTCTTCGTCGTGCACTTGTTACCATCCCTTGCCTCACGCCTTTTCCTCAAGGCCAAAGAAGCCGGGATGATGAGGAAGGGATATGCGTGGATCATCACAGATGTGCTAACAAGTGTTCTGGACTCGGTAGATCCTTCAGTGATTGAGTCATCAATGCAAGGTGTTCTTGGTGTAAAGCCTTACTTTCCAAGATCACATGAGCTTAACAATTTCACCAAGAGATGGAGAGAGAGATTTCGTCAAGAGTATCCAAACATGGACCAAGTTGAACTCAATGTTTACGGGCTATGGGCATATGATAGCATTACCGTCTTAGCAAAAGCAGTACAAAATGTGGGCGCAACTGCCATCCCAGAAGTCAAGAAACCAGACGCTAAAGAGAACTTATCGGACTTAGATGCACTTGGTACCTCAGAATTGGGATCTTTGCTCATTGACACTCTGCAAAACACATCCCTAAAAAGAGGACTAAGTGGTGATTTCCGTATCATTGATGGAGAATTGCAGCCATCCCCATATCAGATTGTGAACATAATTGGGAAAGGAGAGAGAAGCATTGGATTCTGGACAGAGAGTGATGGAATTTCATATAAACTGACTATGAATGGGAAAACAGCTAAGAGTAATAATAAGCAACTAGGTACCATCATTTGGCCGGGTGAATCGACTATTGTTCCGAGAGGCTGGGAGATGCCCACAAGTGGGAAGAAGTTAAGGGTTGGAGTTCCTGTCAAAGGAGGCTTGGAGCAATTCATCAAAGTGGAAATAGATTCAAAAACACAAGCAGTAACTGCAACTGGTTTCTGTGCAGATGTCTTCAAAGAAGTCATCCAATCTTTGCCATTTGCTGTCCCTTACGAACTTATTCCATTTCGAATACCAGATACCCTAACTCTTCCAGACTATGATGATCTTATTTACAAGATCTCTTCCAAGGTAATATATAATCCTTGTTTGAATTAACGTCTTTGGTTGAATACCTTACTCACATGCTCTCTCTGGGACTTTCTTATCTACTTTCAGATTTTTGACCCACCATAATTAATGCAATAAACATTGTTTGCTTGAACCAGGAATATGATGCAGTTATAGGTGATGTCACCATTTTAGCGAACCGATCCAAGTATGTGGATTTCACATTACCTTTCACGGAGTCGGGTATTTCTGCAGTAGTGCCAGTAAGGGATGATGAGAGGAAGAATGCTTGGATTTTCTTGAAACCTCTAAAGACCGAACTTTGGATAACAACTGGAGCATTCTTCGTCTTCATTGGTTTTGTGATTTGGGTACTCGAGCATCGTGTAAACAAAGAGTTTCGAGGACCCAAACACAAACAAGTTGGGATGATATTCTGGTTTTCCTTCTCAACTCTTGTTTTTGCACACAGTAAGTCTCTTACTTAAAGCACGGTACATATGAAACCTTTACATTCTCCTTGTTTCTCAACAAATGATATGGATGGTTGCTGCAGGAGAGAGGGTAACAAGCAACTTAACAAGATTCGTGATTATTGTGTGGGTTTTTGTGGTGCTGGTGCTGACATCAAGTTATACAGCCAACTTAACATCTATGTTAACAGTGCAACAGCTCCAACCTACTATAACAAACCTTAATGATCTCATAACAAATGGAGAATATGTTGGGTACCAAGAAGGTTCCTTTGTCAAAGATGTCTTGAAGCGCATGAATTTTGATAGCTCCAAGTTTAAGAGTTATAGTACTTTGGAAGAGTACAATGATGCCCTCTCAAGAGGAAGTAAAAATGGAGGAGTTGGTGCAATTGTTGATGAACTACCTTATCTGAGACTTTTCCTCAACAAGTACTGCAGGAAGTACATTATGGTCGGTCCAACTTACAAGGCTGCCGGCTTTGGATTCGTAAGATTCTCGCACTCCAGTGGTGTTTTGGAATGCTTTTACATTTTTAGACAGGATTGTAGTTTCAAAGATCTAATCCATTTTTTTTCTCCATAACTTCTTGCAGGCATTTCCAAAAGGATCTCCATTGGTACCTGACGTCTCGAGAGGAGTCCTAAAGGTGATGGAGGGAGAGTTTATGAATAACATAATACAGAAATGGTTTGGGAATGAAACAGATTGCCCAGAGAAAGATGGAATGGCTATAACATCGGACAGCCTCACGCTAGATAGTTTTAAGGGCCTTTTCCTCATAGCTGGTGTATCAGCTGGTTCCGCTCTTCTCATATTCTTCCTCATCTTCCTTTATCAGAATAAAGAAATCTTAGACACTGATGATTCAATATGGCAAAAGCTTTCTACAATAGCTAAAGTCTTTGATGAAGAGAAAGATAACTCTAATTCTAAGTCAGAAACGCCAGAAGGCAATGAGAGCCAAACGGCTACACCTTTTGCAGCAAGTGCAGCTTCCCCTGATATATTGCTCCATCTTGGTTCGCAAAGCCCAGAAATCAGAATTTCCGACAGCCTAGGAGCATCCCATGCAGAAGAAGGGTTTTCTACACCAGAACCTGGAACTCCAGTTCATGAAACCCTTACAGGGACAAATGAAGAGAGATGATACATATAGCTGCTACTACAATAATGAACACAACTGAATAGGGCCCTACAAGAGATTGTACAGAGATGACCTAGCTTTAGGGTAGTTAAACCATATTACATTATAACCTTTTCCCTCTTGGCCATAATATTTGTATCAAGAGGCAGCTCCAGAATTTAGATATGATAGGTTCATCATTTAAGTTCTTACTATTGAATTCATTGCACTTTTGTAATAATAGATTCCTAATTAAATATTTGTTGTAATTATAATACTTTTCCACTTATATTTATGTTCTGTGTCGAAATTACTGGGTTCAGAAGTTGAACCCAATAAATAAGGAAGCATCTGCCTCTGTTTTCATCAAGGTTTTCGGGTGGGCAAACGAAAGATTTCAGAGAAATAGGATCAGAACATCACTTATCAGTACTTACGGACCACTTTCAGACGCCATAAGCGTAACTAAAACAATCCAACAAAATTACGAATTTGCCAACTGAGAAACAAATGGAACTTTTAGGGTAAAATCCGCAGAGAAAAAGATGCCAACTTTAGCTCAAAAGTTGTTTGCAACTCAAAAACATATTAAACTACAAATGATACAGAATCTGAGGCAGAAGAAAAAGACAGAAAACCCTAAATTGACCTGGATCATGAACTACTTTTAATCAATGACGTAAAAAGGGTCAGATTATGTTATTTTAGAATTTTGGAAGAGAAAATTGGACCTGAAATATTTGAGAAGGGAACCATTATATCTCCTCTGCATTCCCATCAGTTGTTAGATGTGTAGATATCCCCTTCCATGGCGGCAGATTCAGTCAAGTAGGAAGCGGAACTGACGGCATAGTGATGAAGGCATAGTAGGACATTTCCCCCGCTGTTAGTTGACGGTAACGGAGAGAGAGTAAACTTGGTGCGAGTTATGAGCAATCTGTTCTATAATATTTTAGAGTAACTCATTTGTTCATTAAAAATATTTCACTATTTCAACTTCAACTTTAAATACATTTTTAACAACTTCAATTAAATATTGTCCAAATGCCTACAAAGTTATATGTTAAATTTGGTATTTTTTTATTTATTCTAGGCGTTGATAACTATAACAAAAATACTTTAATCTCTATCTATCTTCTAACGCTTAACTAGAGGATTCGAGTTCAAACTCTAGGGAAGAAAAAATCCCTTAATAAAGAATATTTTCATTAATCGACTCTACATGGTAGGTGTGAGTTTGAAATAGTCGTATCAATATATATCAAATTTGGATGATTATAGAAAAAAGACTGATTTTACGTACTACAAATGTTTTTTACGAACTTTTTATATCGGCTAAACCTAAAAGCAAAATGTTATTTCGTTTTGAATCAAATGAAGGTAAATTCTAGATTTGATCTTTTCTTCTTTTTCAAATAAAAAAAATGCAATTTTTTGAATGTTGTGATATAATTGTTTAATATTATATTAGTAACATATGGACGAGCATATTACTTTTCGACTTCTAAGTGGAATAAGAAAATAAGAAGCTATGATAAAAAATAAATTAATAGTAAACATTTGCATATTGGGTTAAATTATAGCTAACCTTTAGTTTAGGAAGATTTCACAAAACATTCTCAAATTGAAAAAAGATATGTTAATATGTCTACTTGTCTCAAATTGCATTATACAATCCCTCGCTTTTTTATGAAAACTATATTAAAAAGTAGTAATGTGAATCAAAAAATTTTAATACTCGAGAATATTTGTAACTAAACATTTCGAAACATTGCTTTTCATCTACGTAAGAAATTACAGAGAGCTTGTTGGGGATAATAGCAATCAAATATACTGTCTAAAGCGGTTAAAACTTATTGATGTTTACGGCAGAGGCGGACCCAGGTTGAGGATGCATTTTGCTTTCAGCCAAATCTACTTTGTATATATATGTATTCAGGAAAATTTTGTTGAATTTTCCGGGAGCCGGTGACCCCCTTAGTTGATAACATAGGTCCACCTATGTGTTTACGTTAATCCAATTGATACATGACACATGTCTTCCTATGCACTTTTATCACCAAAACATAGTTAATTATTAATACACTTTATCATCTTAATTATTACTTAATCATGAAAAATTAGTATAAGTATAGTGTAACCATAAAATGCGAGTTTGAAGCAGTCCAAGATAGGAATAGACCAAGACTCTTCTCTTTTCTTCTTTTTTTCCCCTTTCTTTGGCTTCAATTATTGGACTCATATAGAGGTCAGAGGAGGTTCAGAGAAGAACCAATTTAGTAGCAATATTACTATCCCAGCTTGACTTAATAGTTTATTAATATGGGCTGGATTCTTGCTCTCGAACAACAGATGACTGTTGAATTGACGAAATGAATGGGAAGAAGACTAGAATATTTGGCCCACAAGTTCAAAAAGTTGAATAGTCAGTAACACAGAGAGCAGACAACCACTATAGTTATGGATCATAATTAAACAACTAAAGGTTTTAGGACCACAACTGGATGGAAGGAGAGCAGTAATATGTCCGGCCGGTGCATAAAGCATTCCGTATTCGCGCAGGGTTAGGGGAAAGGCTGCACCCCTAGAGGTATGATAGTAGGCAGTCTACTCTAATGCAAGCATTAGTAGCTACTTTCACGGCAGCCTGATGCACAAGGCATCCCGCGTTCATGTAGGGTCCGGAAAAGGGTCTCACTCCAACGGGTGTGATCTAGAAATGCAAGATTAGTGGTAACTTCCACGGCTTGAACCTGTAACTTATAGGTACAATTTTACCGTTGCTCCAAGACTCCCTTCAGAGCAGTAATATGTCCATTTCAACATAATAGGCAAATTCCCAAGCAGCTTCCTCTTACATTAACAACTAGTAGTCGTACCAGCGCGATGCACGGTCAATATTAAAAAAATATTTGTCACTTTGTTAATTTTTCGATGTTACATTTGAAATTATCACAATTATTTGATTATCATATTCTATATAAATAGAATAGATATTGTCTAAATTTTAATAAATAAAATCTCCATTAAATTAAAGGGACTTATATAGTCATCAAATAATTTTTTCGTTATGTATTTATATTTATTATATTATTCAATATTTAGTATAATTATATTTTTAATAGAAATTATGACGCTTGTCATTATAACATTTCTTTGCCTCTCCTATTATATGTATATATATATATATATATATATATATATATATATATATAAATACATTTCTTTGACTCTCCTATTATATATATTATATATTATATATTATACATATATTATATTATGTTATATTATATATATAAATAGATTTTTCGTTTTTTATTTCAAAATAATTTTAAAACTCCAATTTGAATTGGTAATTCATTATTTTTTTTAATTTCGTTTTTTATTTTAAAACTCCAACTTGAAACTACTTCCCAATTTGAATGGGTAGTTTTTCTTCTCTTTTTTCGTTTTTTTATAGGTAACTTTTTTTTTTTTGCTTTATTTAAAAACTCAAACTTGAAACAACTCCCACGAAATTTAAATGGGTAGTTATTTTTTATATATTTCTTTTTCGTTCTTTTAATTATATTTAATTATAAGATATCTATATTTATTAATCCAAATAACGTAACCAACTTTTATATATATATATATATATATATATATATTAATATATATGGTAATTTTTTATTGTATTTTATTATTTTCGTTTTTTATATGTATTTAAATTCAAAAATAAGTAACCAATAACTAATTATAAACTAAATAACTAATTAGTAACCTATTATGCCATGTGGCATTTTTTTAGGCTGCCACTTGGCTTAAGGAGAGGGCTTTTTCCTTTCCTTTTAATAATATATAGAAGATATAGATGTTTAATACTAATTTCGACTACTAACTGCATTATCATTCCATGCATAACTAGAAGACGGGGCAGTGGCTGTGTTTTGCTGTTTGATGTGCAAGCAAGACAAAAGACTCTAAACTGAAAACGTGTAAAATAAGACAGGATCATATATAGCAGTAGTAGCTCCAATGGGGTAATTCGTAGGATTTGTAACTGAGCTAGTCCAGAACTAAAGTTCAACCAAAATCAATTGATTTGGTCAAATAACTGAGGAGGAAGCTTACAAGCTTGCAGTGTAGAATGTGTGGAAACTCTCTCTCTCTCTCTCTCTCTCTCTCTCTCTCTCTTCAACTATTGTCTTCTTTGAAAACTTTATTTTGACTTTTCTTTCTACATTTATGGGGTTTGGCCTTATTATAGGTACTAAGGTGTTTACAGGTATAAGTGTATGTGAAGTTCCCTGATTCTGAAGCCTTATATCCACAGCCACCCATTTGAGAGACCTGTACAGACATCCTTGAAAGGTGTGGTTAGTTGCATAGGCACAAACTGCTTGTCCAACTTACAAGAGTTCTCCAAATGCCAAATCCAAGATGCCATTTCCTGATTCTTTTGATGAAATTTGTCTCCATTATTTGCTTTTGCCACTATATAGTGCCAACAAGAGGTGAAGATGAAACTAAACCTGTAAAGGTGGATGTGGGCATAATTCTTGATTTTGAAACAGTTTTGGCAAAAGTAATGCACACATGCATCTTACTAGCACTTGCAGATTACCATGCCGCGAGTCGCAGTGCCATTAGGATAGTCCCTCACTTCAGGGACTCCAAGAAAGATGATGTCGAAGCAGCATCTGCTGGTACATTCAGCTGCATATATATAGCTCCTTGATTTACTTCTCTTAAACTAGCATATCTTATTCTTTTTTCTTCACGCGTCAGACATACTCTGGTATATATATATATATATATATATTTTAGAAGGTAAGGTATTTTATAAAAGGTGTTGTCAAGATCTATACTGAGCAGCAGAGTAACTTGGCAAATTTCTAACCCTTATAGACTTGTACTGATTCTATCACATCTAGAATCTATGTTGCTCGGACTCTCTCATGAAAATATCATCGGGTGCGTGTCAGATCCTCCAAAAGTAGTGTATTTTTGAAGGATCCGACACAGTGCGACAGCATTTTGGAGAGTCCGCGCAATATAGTCTAGAAGATCTTCATCTATTAGTTCTTTTTTAAACGTAGTGTCCTGACTAGCTTGCATGTACCTCACTAATCTCACGAGATACCTGGTACCTCGTATTAGCACAACTATCAAGCAACTCTGTCTATCAAAGTTTGGACAGATAAGAAGAAATCATATAGTGTTTTTGTCTACGTTGGTATTTGAACCTGAGACATCATGGTTCTCAACCCACTTCATTTATAACTAGGCCATACCCCTGGGTGCTTCATCTAGTAGTTACTCGTGCCCTATTTGCACGAGATACTCTTTTTGTAAAATTTTCTTTCCCTTCGACTTTCCTATTTCGGAAGGCATGTTTTAAACAATTTGTTATAGTCTGATATGTATGTGCAGCTATATCCTTGCTAAAGGATGTCAAAGTGCAAGCTATCTTTGGGCCACAAATGTCTACACAAACTGATTTTGTGATTGAAATAGCGAAAAGAGCAGAAGTCCCAATCATTTCTCCAGCAACAAGTCCTTTACTTACAGTCGAGGAACACCCCTACTTCATCAGAGCAGCACTTCCTTCTTCCAGCCAGACCAAGGCCATTGCAGCAATTGTTAGTAGATTTGATTGGAGAGAGGTTGTAGTCATATACGAGGATAGCCCCTATGGAACTGGAATAGTTCCACATTTGACTGATGCCTTACTAGAAAGCAGCACTTTAGTCTCATATAGAAGTGTTATTTCACCTTCAGCCAATGATGATATAATCCTCAGAGAGCTATACAAGTTGAATACAATGCAGACTAGGATTTTCGTCGTGCACTTGCAACCATCACTTGCCTCACGCCTTTTCCTCAAGGCAGAAGAAGCCGGAATGATGAGCGATGGATATGCATGGATCATCACAGATGTTCTAACGAGTCTTTTGGATTCGGTAAATCGTTCAGTGATTGAGTCATCAATGCAAGGTGTTCTTGGTATAAAGCCTTATGTTCCAAGATCAAATGAGCTTACCAATTTCAACAAGAGATGGAGAAGGAGATTTCGCCAAGAGTATCCAGACATGGACACAGTAGAACTCAATGTTTACGGGCTATGGGCGTATGATGGCGTCACAGCATTAGCAAAAGCAGTAGAGAAAGTGGCTGGCACTGCTACCCCAAAATCCAAAAAAGTAGACACTAGAGACAACTCAACGGACTTAGATGCACTTGGAACCTCAGAGTTGGGATCTTTGCTCATTGACTCTATGCAAAACATAACGCTAAAAACTGGACTAAGTGGTGATTTCCGTATCATTAATGGAGAATTGCAGCCATCCCCATATCAGATTGTGAATATAATTGGGAAAGGAGAGAGAAGTATTGGATTCTGGACAGAGACGGATGGAATTTCCTATAAACTGAAGATGAATGGGAAAACAGCTAAGAGTAATAATAAGAAACTAGGGACCATCTTTTGGCCCGGTGAATCTAATATTGTTCCGAGAGGCTGGGAAATACCCACAACCGGGAAGAAGTTAAGGATTGGCGTTCCTGTCAAAGAAGGGCTGGAGCAATTCATTAAAGTGGAAACAGATCCAAAAACAAAAGCAGTAACTGCAACTGGTTTCTGTGCAGATGTCTTCATAGAAGTCATCCAATCTTTGCCATATGCTGTCCCTTATGAATTTATTCCATTTCGAATACCAGATAGTCACACTAATCCAGACTATGATCATCTTGTTTACAAGATCTCTTCTAAGGTAATACCTAGTCCTTGTATAAATTAACCTCTTTGGCTGAATACCTTACATGCTCGTTTCGGGGGTTTTCTTATCGACTTTCTACTTTTGCTTTGGCTGAGAAAGATCAACCATAATAATCATCGTCTTCTTGAACCAGGAATATGATGCAGTTGTAGGTGATGTGACCATTTCAGAGAACCGATCCAAGTATGTGGATTTCACACTACCTTTTACAGAGTCGGGCATTTCTGCAGTTGTGCCAGTAAAGGATGATGAGAGAAAGAATGCTTGGATTTTCTTGAAACCTCTACAGAGAGAACTTTGGATCACAACTGGAGCATTCTTCGTCTTCATTGGTTTTGTGGTTTGGGTACTCGAACACCGTGTAAACGAAGAATTTCGAGGACCCAAACGCAAGCAAGTTGGGATGGTATTCTGGTTTTCCTTCTCGACTCTCGTTTTTGCCCACAGTAAGTCTCTAACTCAAACCGAAGTATATATGAAAGCTTTACATTAATTCTCCTTGTTTCTCAACAAATCATATATATGGCTGGTTGCAGAAGAGAGGGTAACAAGCAACTTAACAAGATTTGTGGTGATTGTGTGGGTTTTCGTGGTTCTTGTGCTGACATCAAGTTATACCGCCAGTTTAACATCTATGTTAACGGTGCAACAGCTCCAACCTACTATAACAGACCTCAATGATCTCATCAAGAATGGAGAATATGTTGGGTACCAAGAAGGTTCCTTTGTCAAAGACATCTTGAAGCGCATCAGATTTGACAGCACCAAGCTTAGAAGTTATAGCACATTGGAAGAGTATAATGCTGCCCTATCGAGAGGAAGTAAAAATGGAGGTGTTGGTGCAATTGTTGATGAACTACCTTATCTCAGACTCTTCCTCAACAAGTACTGCGGGAAGTATATTATGATCGGCCCAACATACAAGACAGCCGGCTTTGGATTCGTAAGATTCTTGTGTTCCAGTGATGTTTTGGAACGTGTTTAGAATGGTTTGTAGTTTACTCAATCTAATCCATATTATTTTCTCCATAACTTCTTGCAGGCATTTCCAAAAGGATCTCCATTGGTACCTGACGTCTCGAGAGGAGTCCTAAAGGTGATGGAGGGAGAGTTTATGAATAACATAATACAGAAATGGTTCGGGAATGAAACAGATTGTCCTGAGAAAGATGGAATGGTTATAACATCTGATAGACTCAAGCTAGATAGTTTTAAGGGCCTTTTCCTCATAGCTGGTGTATCAGCAGGCTCCGCTCTTCTCACATTCTTACTCATCTTTCTTTATCAGAACAGGGAAATCTTAGCCACTGATGATTCTATATGGCAAAAGCTTTCTGCTATAGCAAAAGCCTTTGATGATGAGAAAGAGAAACCTAATTCTAAGTCAGAAAAGCCGGGCGAAGGCAATGAAAGCCAAACGACTACACCGTTCGCAGCAAGTGCAGCTTCCCCTGAAATATCTCCCAACCTTCCGTCACAAAGCCCAGAAACCAGAACTGCGTCGCCTCCAGATGAAGGCTTCTCCACAACAGAACCTGGAACTCCACTTGAAGAAACCATTACAGAGGCAAAGGAAGAGAGATAATACATATAAATGCTACTAGAATTATGTAACAGCCTAAGAGAGATCATATAGTGATGAACTAGCTTGAGAAAAACTCAACCAAATTACACTATCATTTTGGCACTCTTGGCTATAATATTTGTATCGAGATTTTAGATGGATAAGCAAGAATTAAGAAGATATTTTCGCGCTCTTGGCAAGATTTTACGTGGATAAAAGCAAGAATTAGAGGAAGAGTATAATTCAACTCCAAGTGGTTCATGAAAAGATAATAATATATAGGTTTGCTAGCCCAGCACACTTAGCCAGCCTAGAATAGCTGGTTCGACGTTATAAGCAACCTATTATGGTCGTGCATTAACATAATCTATCAAGCCTCGAACTTATTTCCAAAGTGTTGCACCGGAGTAATGAAGAAAGAAAAGAGTTCAAGCTTCCAACCACGAATTTTATGGTGGTGTTAGCATTTAAAATTAGAAGATTTATTTTTGAAAAATATTTTATAATGTAAGTTGTATTGGTATTATTTCATTAGTTTTACATATTTAGTCCAGGCTCATAGGAAATAAAGCGTACAACAATTCTGCTCTACCCTCCTCTTCCTTCTCACCACTTTTGAAAACAGAAGACCGCTGCTTCGTTGACCATGGCGGTTACTTTATGTTATGTTCCAAGACATCTTCAAAGGCTCAATGATTTAAATTACACAGGTGAACGTTGGGCTTGATGCATTATGACAGCCCCAGCCCCCATGGCCATTGGACAAGTTTCGTTAGAAAAAAGGAAATAAGTCTCTTGACAACAGAAGCAGGTTCTAGAAATAAACATTATCACAATTCCATCCAACAGGTATAAGTCAAGGTCTATCGGCTATATTATTAGCATATAAATGTTTTTATGCAAGCCCCAGCACACGAGCACCGTATGTAATGCCAGGAAAGTACAAAATTCATTTGAGAGAAGAAATAAAGCCTGATATCCAACCTTGTTCAGTTGGTCTCATTCTTCAGGAGAATCTGAGCGGATGGCTGTTTAAAAACCAGCAGAAATGTTTATCAGTAAGCAGAAAGCACAGCTTGCAATGGCATTAAGACAATAGAGCAAATAACATATATACAGGCCATATAACCCATCCTCCATGCCCCATCCCCTCATCTAAAACATAAAAAAGAAACGTATGTAGAAATATGGAATTAAAATTTTCAGAAGTGCATACAACACATGACAATGCAGACATGACCCTTAAAGACACAAAAAGATAAATTCCTATTTACCATAATTCATTTGTTCTATAAATTTTAACATGTGAGAGAACCTATTTTGTCACTCACATTAAAGAGCATGTATAAACACAAATAGAAGCATCTACACATCAACCATATACATTAATAACAATCAGCAGTCGCCAGTCGCACGTGGTGTCATCATAATGATCCTCTGCTTCTTTTTCTTTCTCTTAATGAGTCCAACTTCCATAATTCAGTTAGACCTTGTACTATGAAAAAGGAAGAGAAGAAACACTTTCTGGAAAAGGGGAGAAAAGATGAAATAAATTGCGTAATTTAAGCATTTCATCTTGACATGTTGAGAATACAAATGTATAGGTATATGATGAAATGGGTGAAACGATATCCCAATGCTCACTCTACAGCAGCGATTAGAAGTGAGAAAAGAATATCTTTTAGGAAGAGGAGGGGAATAAACAAGAAAGAGCAGAGAATTAGTAGGCAACCAGATGGACAGTATTAAGCAAATGATCGACACTAGACAACCACAATTTGGGGAATATTTGAACGAAGTAGATGAGTTGAAAGATTTCAGACTAAGCTTTTTAGAGGGGCAAACAGCACCATCTGAATATTCAAATAAGTATGAGTCTCAGCATCGCAAAGTCTGCGGCAGCGGATCCAAAATTTGAACTTTATGGGTTCAGAGTTTGAAATTCCACCAAAGGCCATTTGATTTACTAGGTTCAAAATCTATTATTTGTATTAATTTAGTAAATTTTCTAACACTATACAAGATCTAAGCTAAAGTTATTGGGTTCAGACGAACACGTATTGATTACCCTACATCCACCCCTGAGTCTGCCAAGTTAATTATCAACCGTTCGAGGTTTACAGCTTGTTTGGATGGTTGCTGTCCATTGTATCGTATTGTATTGTTATCCCAGAACAATGTTTGTTTTGATTGTTTAGTTAAAATTGGTTGTATTGTATTGTTAAATCCATTGTTCCAGGACAATGAAAAGTCTCATTTTTCGAAACAATTGATTTGGTGTGGTGGGATTGTTTCCTATTTTTCTTTCTATGAGAATGCTCGGAAAAAAAATCTATTTTTTAACAATGATACAGTGAGCCTTATATATAATACATATTCTACTCCTATTATATATGGGACTATGACATATTCTACTCCTACTATATATGGGACTAGGACTATTTACACATAACTACCTAACATTTCCCCTCAAGCCGGTGCATACAAATCATATGTACCGAGCTTGTTACATATGTAACTAATACGAGGATCAGTGAGGGACTTGGTGAAAATATCTGCAAGCTGATCATTCGACATACAAGGCCACTAGACTCCCCCTGAGCAACAAAATCAGGTCGTTGCTGATAAACAGAAGTTGGCCGAAAGGTCGCGGAAAAATTTGAAAATAGTGAGACTAAGCCGAATTCCACACTACAAAATAGGTTCTAAAACACCACCAGAAACACAGAAACTTTTCTGGAAATTACTATTCACGCAGGAACCACTGTTCACGCCATAAAAGGGCACTGTTCACGCCAGAAAAAATAAAAGTTGTCAGATTTTGATGTAATTTATATGGGTAGGCTCGGAATCACTTGACGAGTAAGTTGCTCTGAAAAAGTTTTGTCAAAAAGTGGCCGGAATGGCTCACACGCCGGAAAAGTTATAGTAGCTTGCCGGAACCCTAGTTTTGGCGACGCGTGGAGGCGCGTGAGGGACTTTCTGCCGGAGCGATTGACTGTTTTCGAACAAGATGGTAGTGTTGGTTTTCGCACAACACTTACTGATGAGGAGATAACGCAAATCAATCTTGAGTCGTCAACCGGAAAGATGCACGGTGACTGACTTTCTGTTCTGATAGGACTGGAATTTCTGGGGTTTAGTCGTACAAGGGTTTCGGATCCAATGGTGGTACTGGTATATTTACAGTACCACTGTAGCAGTGATTAACCCTTGGAATAAGACGAAGTTGTCGGAAAATTGCACGGCGACGAGATCTTTCTTCCCGGATGTCGTTGGAATGACGCACAACGATAATTTTCTCATTGAAGCTCTGATACCATATGAGAATGTATGGGAGAAAAAATCTATTTTTTAACAATGATACAATGAGCCCTATATATAATACATATTATACTCCTACTATATATGGGACTATGACATATTCTACTCCTACAACATATGAGACTAGGACTATTTACACATAACTATCTAACACTTTCCAATTATGTCCTAACTTATTACTTTATAATTCTATTTTACCCTTTACTTTTTTTTTTTATTTCAATCCAAATCTCCTAACCTATAGCCTACGTCTTCATTCCTTTTTTCCTTCTGCCATTCCAACTCCAACGTCATGTATAGGTTTTGCCTTCTTTTTGTTTTATTCTTTCTTCTACTTTGATTTTTAACTCCAATTCTAATTACTTTATCTCCAATTAGCTATATAATATTGATGTTAAATTCCAATTCTAATTACTTTATCTCCAATTAGCTGTATAATATTGATGTTAAATTCCAATTCTAATTACTTTATGTGTAATTCTTGATAATATTTAAAATAATTAAGGGTATTTTAGTAAACTTATCAGTTACAGTACAGTACGATACAATCAAATCAAACAGCAAAATGTTATTTGACAACAACAAATAATACAATCTATCCAAACGTTGTATTCATAAAATGATACAATACAATAACATACAATACAATACGATACATTATAAAACGATGGGTAACAATGATCCAAATAGAGTGTTAAGTGGATATGATATCCACATGCAAGTCAGAAGAGCAAAGATTTCACAGTCCACCAAATAATGAAACTGGAGTGGATAAACTACTAAACTCATTTTAGTTTCAACTGGTTGGTTATCTCTCTAGTCAAGCCAGAGCGTTTAATAAGAACATTTCATGTCTAGGATCTGAAAAACGATGGACATTTTCTAACTAGGAATTCTCCTTTTATAATTAATAGAACAGTTAAGAGAACAACTCCTACAGAAATCAAACAGAATTAATAATATTAACAATAATTCATTGCATTCTGCAATATGAACAGAAAACCCTAGATTAAGAAATGCCACCTACTAATCACATACAAAAACCCTAAGATAACCAATTTTCGAATTTTAATCCATTTACAAATCCTACCACGAGATGCGCATTGATAAAAAAGAGGAATTACTGAAACACTAACATGAATTAACACACAAATAATGAAATAGGAAACAAAAGATCTGAACTTTAAATTTTCCTTCTCGAAAGGGGAAAAATAAAAAAAAGAAAAAACAGAGATTTCTCACTGGGTTTCTGAGGCTTGCCATCGACCCATTTGGAGACGGAGTAGTGGACCTTCTCACGGGTCAGGGCTTCGGACTTGTAAGGCTCCTTAAGGCAGTTCCTAACCAGGTTCGCACATAGGTTTGAGTATGTTATGTACGTCATCCCCGCCGACCTCCAAAACGGCGCCGCTGCGTTTGAAGCCATTTTCTGCTGCTCTCACTCTCTTTCTGGATCGCACTCTCTTTCTCTCGCTGCTTTTGTAGTCACAGATGAAATGAGTACTCCGCTAAATAGACCAATTCAATATATAACCAACTAATGTGATATTTATTTATCCTCGTCCTTAATTTTTGTTACCCTAACGAAGCTAAGGGTACACGACATGCAAATTTACGTGAGGTAATTTGAATTGACACAAAATTTAAAGGTAATTTGAATTGACACAAATTTAAGAATTTATTTTTAAATTTACTTTAAGCTAGCGTTTGTATATAGATTTGGTTGAAACTTAAAAAATTAATTTTTTAAAAAAATGCTATAAAAAATAGTTTTGAAAGTTGAAATTATTTGGACATGCATTTTGTCCGAAAAAAATACTTTAGAGCTATTTTTGGGATTTGAAAATTTTATTTTCAAAATCTGTCAAAAAATAATTAAAATCTATAAACAAACAAATATTTGAAAATAGAATTTGAAAAAAAGCTCCCAAATTTTATGACCAAATTGGAGCTAATTATCTTCTAAAATGTAGTTAAGATTCAACCCTAGAGTAAAAAATCCAAGTTAAAAATGTAATTTAATTTTCTTGATATACTAAAAATAATTACTCAAGTTTTCTTCAACTCTAAAAATTACTCCAATGCAATGGTTTTCACTCCCACGTCTTCACTCGGCTACACTTGTGCCTTCACAATGCAGTATTCTCAGGCAGCAGCTGCCCCCGAGAGGTCGTGCGCCGCCCATAACCTCGTGGCCCGGCCATCAATCTGCTTCTCCCCCAAAATAATTATTTCCCAAAATCGACAGCCGGCCATCAATTTCAATTCCAAAAAGTTCAGCTCAGCACTTCCGTCCAGCGGTTTGAGGTCTCTGTCAATATCGCGTCCGGCAAACCACAGCGCTACACGAGCAAGTTCGACATCTTCGTCTTCGTCGTCTTCATTCTCCAGCTCATCCTCACCGTGGGATGAAAAACCCTACCAAGTTTTATCGAATGGCAAAATAGTCTACTTGGACGAACAGGATGTTGTCACCTTCCTTGACCCTCCAAAAGAGCTTATTCCTTTAGACCCTTCTTCTTATAATCCCGCTTCTTATCTTTGGTAAGTTCTATTACTGAATTTATTTAATTACGATCAGTGAGGTTCATTTTAGTTGCGACAATTATTTGCTCTCATCATTTCTCATTAACTTTGTTATTTGTTGTTGCGGTTAGGAAGAAAATTGAGGATATTCCAGAGGAAAGGCGGCACAGGCTATTGTCATTGCTTAACCCAAGGTTTGTCTGTTACTTGGTCTCCTTTCTTCTCTTGCTATTATGAGTTGTGCCTGATGAAGCAGAGAATACTCAACTATATGACCCTTTATGATGTGTTTGAGTAAGGATGGAGTTTAATAGGATAATTTGACTTATATACTAGTACTATATTGGTGAGAGCAGATGATAATGTTAAATTCATAGGTGAGAAACCAGTGTCGTAAGGAAAATTACATTTTATTTAAATTTGAATTAACTAAAATGAATTTGAATTGTTCGACAAAAGAAACTTTATTCTTTGAACACTTGAGTATAGGAAGTAAATGTTAACTGTAGAAATTGGAAGAAGTACTTGGCTTTTTCTGGGATGCATTCGTGGTTCTTAGACATCTTAGGATACTTTTCCCCCTAATCATCAGCGATCTAAAACCCTCAGGCCGTCCTTTTGCTTTGTTATCTGTGAAGCATGAGCTATAATAAATTTGTGACAAAACTTGCTTGTATAAAGTTTATTAGCTTGCATCTCAGAGTAAAATTGCTTAAAGTGAGGGGAGGATCTATGGCTATAAGACAAAGCATGATTATCTCCGCCTCTCCCACCAAGAAAGCTTGCTATGTTCGTCACGTATCATTACTTCTCAAACTTCAAGCGATTTGTGCCTCTTTTATTAAAAAAAAAAGGAACCATTCTATGTGCAGTCAGCTTTTGCAACATAACATATCACACAATTGATAGTGTTACAATTTCTCATATTCTTAGTTGAACTTCAAGCAGGTTGATATCACAAGCTTGGGAGATTGCTGGGACACGGTATTATAATTCAAAGCTGGTACAGAAAAGTGCATCTAGCTTGCTAGCAATCGGAAATACTGAAACAGTTGCTGAATTTTGGAAGTGCCGGACGAGTGGAGGTTACTCATCTTGATTTTTGTCATTTCATGTTCCAAATTGTTCTATTTTCTGATTTATGCTTCTCATAATACTGGACTATGATAAAATTTGTCCAAGTTTAGCCAACATTGGTGGTCTGATCTTTATTCTGTTTTGCCCTTAGCATCTGAAGTTTCAAGCAAATTAGACAAGAAATTTAGATGATACCAGATTTTAAAGTCACCTGTACTCAGGAGGAGTTTGATGTTAATTCATATCCATCTGTACGCATGTTTGATTGTGGGTGAGGTAGGGTAGTCATGGAGGGAGAGTTTGATGGTTGTGCCATATGATCTTTAGGTCCTTAGTGCAGCCTGTCCTGCTTTTCTTACGTGACATGTATTCTACCAGCTGTTAGTAACATGCCAGTGTTTCTGTTGTTTTCAATTCAATATTCAGATAATGATTTAAGATACTTCAAATATGAACAGGGCCACTGCAGATTGCCTGGTTAAACTTCTTCAAAAAGGTTATACCACTTAATTGGTGTCTTTTTGACCGATTTTCAGAGGCATTCAGCTCTGGTAATTTGGTGCTTATACGAGAGTTCTTTAACTAATTTTTATGCCAGGTTGTATTTCGCACTGGTGATGGGAGGGCATACGGGCGACTCATTAGTAAGTTCATTAAGAGCTATCTTCAGCTATATGCCAACACATTATGTCAACCCATTTTTTTAAAAAAAAAAAGTTTCTCTAAAGAAAATAGTTGTTTGTTTCAATCCTGTTGCAGTTTGTACTTGTCCATTTATAAATGAGTATTATGCTAGCTTGGAGATGTTGCTTTATTATTATTACAAAGACAGCAATCTCAGATATATGATATATGTCTGATAATGGTCAGGAACAATATATAAGAATCAGGCAACATATGTTAAGCAGCTATATGGGTTCCACACTTAGCACTGATTAACTTATGATATGCTTACTGCTCAATCGATTGCTTGTCTACGTTTTCCTAACCAACCATCCACATTATGCAGGCGAATCAGTTTTCTCTGGGCTCTCAAATTCATTTTATCCTCTGTACTTTACGGTTAGTGAACTCAAAGAAGTGATGTCAACAGAACAGCCTTGTGATTTAGCATATGAATTCAAAGATGGAATCTTGGATCTCCCTGATTTTCCTCGTGGTTTCCCTAAGCCAGGTGAGAGTTATTGCATCAGACATCTTGTTAAACAGAGATAGAGAGCTTCTTGTGCAAATCTTGTATTGCCCATATGCAGTTTGTTCTTTGTAGTTATTTTCTTACACTTTAGTGACCTATCTACCCTAACCACTCTTGAACAATTGTTTCTGTACTGCTTTACATGTCTTGGAATACCAGTTTTGATAGTGAGTCTTATAGTTGTTTGGATTTCCATTTTCCTTTCTATTGCCTAGTTGACTAGCTCAAAACCTTCCCTAGCCGTTTCCTGTCGGGGAAAATTTTATGGACCCTATGAGAGCCCACTATTCTGTATGGCACGAATTTTACAAATAAAAATGTTATGCATGAAGTTTCTGTTTAGGTCAACCTTTAGACACCTTTAAATGCTCCTCTTGCTTTCGAAGTCATATCTGACTCTCAGCTGCCAAATTTACTAGTTCTTCTGCTCCTCTTCCAATTTCCATAGAAGATAAAAGGTTCGGTTTTGGGTTTTTTTTTTTTTTTTAGGGGGGAGGGGGGGGGTGGGGATGGGGGGGTGACTGGGGCAATGCTGGTTGATTCCTCGATTAGGTTGATATTATAAACATTGCTGGTAAAGAAATACCACGTCATGGATCCTATTCCTTGGCAATGATATAGTGTAGGCGAGTTCTCTTTGTTGTTTCTTTTAGTGCAGTTGAACTACTTGCCTAATTCAGGTGTTTTAACATCTCAGCTGAGCATCCATGGCCCTTTAACGATGAGATTGTCATATATGTACGCCATGTGGGACCAGGAGTGATGGTAGGGCAAGCCTGGCAAGAAGGAAAAGCATTGCAACAAGTGCCTAAGAAGCTGTGCGGTGAAATCTTGATGGTGAAAGAGTATTTATCTTCTCAGCCACAATAAAGCTAGTTATGTACTGTTTTCTTTTGTGTCAACTCTTTTATTGTCTGTTGTTTCTATGACCAGAAGCGGATGCAGCTTTGTACAATAGGTTCAACTGAAGTCGATAGTTCACACACCTAACATAAAATTCTAAAAGTCGAACTCAAAAAATTTAATTTCTAGATCTGCCTATCTCTGACCAACTTTCGGGCTGTAATTTTCAAGTGTACATGTCGTTCCCTCTAAGCTCTCTTTTTCTTGTTGTTCCAACTTCCAAGGACACTTGTGCTTTATTCAAGTTTTTTATGAAATTGTATCTATTCTTTCTAAAAATATCATGCTCTTAGAATTAACAGTCCCAGTTAGGACTATGCATAATATGGTAAATACCAAATTATCGTATCAAAATCGAAAATTTTTGTATTTAGTATTCGATATTTGGGTATTTAGTATGGTATTCGGTTTAAGTTTTTAAATAATTTGGCATGTAAATTTTTTTTTACCGAAATATCGATACTGTACCGAAATTTATACTAAGTTATACATTACATATATTATTGATTATTTATACTAAGTTATACATCACATATATTATTGATTATAACATATTATATAAGTTATACAATACTTTTCTTTGGCATTCATGTTGAGGGCGGCTACAAAATGTTTCTACGATTTTAGAGTGTTTCTCACTTTGTTAGTCGTGTATTGCCATCGCATCTGTTGCACTAATCCTTATTGTATTCTCTAAGTTTAGCAATGAAATCTAAGCAAGTAACAAGATATTTCCAAGGATCAAATTCATTCCTTTATGCAACTTTTTCTCCTAGTTGACAGAGGCGGATCCAGAATTTAGATTATATCGGTTTAACTTTTAATTTTTTAGCATTAAACCCATTGTATTTTTAAAGTTATGGGTTAAGACCTATCATTTGTTATAATTTTAATGAATTTTTACACATAAATTTATGCTACGCATCGGAAGTACTGGGTTCAGATGAACCGGCGACCAAACTCTACATCCGCCCCTGCCAGTTGATACTTGATGATTTTGGATAAAGATTTTGTCAACAGTTAGGTGAGTCTAGAACATTTTCATAATTGTAAATACTTTAATTAAGAATACAACAGTTAATATTCAAGCTGAACAAACCGAAATTACCAGACTTAATTAACCGAAATCGAAAGGAAAAATATTAACGCATACCGGATCTAATTGGGTATGGTATTGGTATATTATTTTAAGAAATCGAATACTGAAAATATCGAATCGAAATATTTAAATACCATACCTTATCAATCGATGAATAGGTAATTTTAATATAGGAAATACAACGAGGAAACTCGCTTTTACGTTTTAAACACAAGAAAAAGAAAGAAGGGAGGATACCTAAAAGTGGAGTAGAATAAAAGGAGTATATAACAAGAATTACAGTTGGATATACTAGTATTGGAAATATATCATTCTCATAATTTGAGGTGGATTTTATTGATTTTGGAAAAATAATCGAACGGGTAAGGTTAAGGAAAGGAAAAGACTTCAAGTAACCTTTTTAAGAAAGATTTTTCACCATAATTGGAAGAACAAATATCATATAAGTATGTGCTATAACTAGAAGATTGTTTTTCCAAACATAGATAGACTAATAGCCCGTTTGGCAAGCTGCAAAAATCAGCTTATTTTGAGAAGTGTTTTTTTTCAAAAGTGCTTTTCTCAAAAGTACTTTTGGTGAGAAGCAGTTTGTGTTTGGCTAATTAGTTTGAAAAGCACTTCTGAGCAGCAATTAGTGTTTGGCCAAGCTTTAAAAAACTGCTTCTATGTGTATTTTTCTCAAAAGTGCTTCTCAAAAAAGTGCTTTTGGAGAGAAGCTACTTTTTTCTGCTTCTGCTTCTCCTCAAAAGCATTTTTTTTCCTTCCAAAAGCTTGGCCAAACACCTCAATTTTTTGCCTTTGGCCAAAAAAAAACACTTTTGGCCAAAAAGAAGCTTGGCCAAAACAGGCTATAAAATGAAGGGGGTAAAAGAGCGAGTAGAAGAAATTGGTGTAATTAATCAATCAAAAAGCAATAATTGTTGGTGCACACACCATACCGAAAGAGGAAGAGAGTCATATCCCAAAAGGGCCGAAAGGCAACGGCAGGCAAGGCCAAAATGTCATACGCATTTACATTTGGATTAGTTACCTCCTATAGCAAAGGTTGATACCTTATTTATTTTAAATAAATACCCTTTTAAAAAATTATATTCCATAGCTACCTTTTGATTTTTTATAGCCAAATACCTATTTATGGTCACATCCTACCTTTAAGCCATAAAATAAGCTTTGTATTATTTTTCTCTCTCCACTCAAATTTCTCCTATTCCATCAAATTTCTTGTTTCTATGCTCCCTCTCTCTCTCATCTTCCACCTTCATCTTACTACCAGAACTCTCCGGCATGGAGGTGAATCAATATTACCGTCCGTCTGCACTTGAATATGTCCTTCCTCACATATTTTCTTCACCGAATGAAATGGTCTACGTAATGACCTGTTTTGTGTATTTGGATTTTGGGCCCAATTCCGTTTCCAGAAGAAAATGACTTCATTACGCCTTCGTCAACATCCCCGATGCTACCATCCTTTTCTGTCCTTTCCCGTATGGCATTCTCCCTTCCTCCTTATTTGACCATTCTACCCCTTTTTTTATACCAAGTACTATTCAGTACTTAGATCTTGATAAGATTTTTACTCCTTTAGAGAAAATGGCTTTGACGTTGTTTTTTTGCCATTGAAGGCACTATCGTCGGACCAAGGTGGCGCGTTTTCACTACCGGCTTCCGGTGAACGGCGGAGTCGTCGGAATTAGGGTTTGTTCTTGAACAAAGACGACGGAGTTTGGGGCTGAGCAACTTGATTTTCTGTTAATATATTTCAATGTATTTTCATGTATTTCATTGTATTCATTGTCTTTTTTTCAATTGTAATTCAATGTATTTCGTTGTATTCCATGTATTTCATTGTATTCACTGTCTTTTTTTTCATTGTATTTCAATGTATCCCGTTGTATTCTATGCATTTCATTGCATTCACTGTCTCGCTATATGCCATGAATGTATTCATATGTTTTTTTTAATTAATATAATTTATGCATTCAAATGTATTATATAATTTTTCTGAAGATTGCTATGTTTTTGGTGTATTTTTTGGTTGAGAATCTTTTTTATAACTGAAAATACAAAATTTGTGTGTTATAATTGAGTTTGTTGAGTTATATTAGGAGTCTATTATGTTAATAGATTTACTTTCCGTTTTAAAAACAGTGTAATCCCTTATTTCACGCCGTGAATACAGTCGAATACAATCGAATACAATAATCTGTCCAGCTGTAATCCCACGTTTTACTCCATGAATACAATCGAATACACTCGAATACAACAACTGATTAGCTGGACTTCCCTGATTCAAGCCTATTTTTGCTACTGTATTCATGAATACAATAGTTTAAATACATCAAATACATCTTATAACCACAAAAAAAGTATCTATAATCCGTAATATAGCAAATGGTATCTATAGATGGCTAATTACTACTAAAAGATAGTGCTTTATGAAAATTTCTCTTTACATTTCAAGTCTTAGATTTGTTAGGAATATGAATTTTTTAAGGGAAACTTACACAAATGTCCCAAATAAGTCTCAACTTACTAACCTCTAGCCATTAGTTACAGACTTACCAAAACTAGCCAAATACATATAAAAATTGAAAAACCAAATAAATAAGGTTCTTTCTCTCAAAGAATCACATGCAAAAATTTCCTTCCATATTTTTAAGCGTGATTAGCAACATTAGATGCAAGACGGAAAGGAAATTTCATGGATGAGGTAGCAAATAAGGTGATGAAATACAAAAAAAAATATACAATATTTCAAAAATCTAAGGAAAAAAGGAACTTTTCAATGGTTAGTTGAAATTCATTGAAAACATATAGATAAGTCAATATACAAAAATTGAGGAAGATTGGAGGTGATTTGGACTGGTTTTGTATCAAAATTCGTAATTAAATCGAGTTCAAAAAATTCTTCTGTGACACATGTATCAAACATGTATCACGCATGTATCTCACACACAGGGATACATGAATATACATGTGATACGCAAGTGATACGCAATTGATACATATGTGATACACAAATAATACACCTTAATTTTTTTTTTCATGTTCATTTTTTACTTTGAATTTTCAATTCAAACCACCTCAAAACTTCACCAAATTATCCCAAAACTGAGATTCAAGCTCCTTAAGATGTACCCAATCTATTCTACTAACACCCACTCAAAAGAAAGCAAAAAATTTGACCTTTCTTTGCTACAAATAGCTAAGTGGCTAATATTAATAATATTTTATGAATTGGCCAATTTTTGTAATGAGTTACTTATAAATGGACATAGTTGGTAGTTTTCCTTTTTTTTTTAACGTGAATTCGAGTTTAATTGAGATCCACGAATATCTAATATAAATACAATCAAATCTTTTTTTTGGTCGAAATTAGAGCTTTTATTCCAACCTTTTTAGCAAAGTTACACCATCTGCTCTCTATGGACTTTGGAGCAGATCTCAAAATAAAAAAATAAATTATAAACGAACCTATACAACTCTTCTGTTGCTATTCTATAACAAACATATAACTATCATATATACAACTAGGATAGTTGTTTAACCTTTCCAGTAGTGGCTTCCATTTTAGTTCCTTTTGTCCTGTAACATGAATTTGGACAGCAATATCTTTTGCTCTGTCTTGTACTGTCTTCTTGCATTGTTGAAATCTTCTATTGTTTCTTTCCATCCCTATGTTGTACATCACAGCAGCAAACACAACTCCTAGTATAGCTCTCTTTGGGTTTCTGTTATTCACATTCTTGATTAGCCAGTTTACTTCTTCTTCCCAGTCTTGAGTTCTTCTGTGATACCCCAACCATGTTAACATACTTTCCCATAATTTATTTGAGTATGAACACTCAAAGAATAAGTGTTCATGAGTCTCAGTCAAATCTCTTTCACACAGAACACCTCCTTGTTCAACCTGAATTCCCCATTTCATCAATCTATCCACTGTTGCCAGTCTTCTATGCATTGCCATCCACACTATGAACTGTTGCTTTGGCAGACTACCATTGATCATTGTTACAGATTTCCATCTCACTTTAGGCCATTCTGGAGAGCTTTTTATATATGTTGTTTTGATGCTGAATTTCCCATTCCTCACACAGGTCCTGTCATTTTTTTGCATATCATTTTTCCCACC